CGAGTACGAGGAGAGAGGTCGCTGCTACCTGCTCTCTGCCCCCGGGCCCCACGCCCTGCTCCTGGTGACCCAGCTGGGCCGGTACACTGCCCAGGACCAGCAGGCTGTGAAGGCCGTGCGGGACATGTTCGGGGAGGGCATCCTGAAGCGAGTGGTCGTCGTCTTCACCAGGAAGGAGGACCTGGGCGAGAGCTCTCTGCAGGATTACGTGCGCTGCACCGACAACCAGGCCCTGCGGGAGCTGGTGGCCGAGTGCGAGGGGCGGGTCTGCGCCTTTGACAACCGAGCCACTGGCCGGGAGCAGGAGGCCCAGGTGGAGGAGCTGCTGGGGCTGGTGGAGGGCCTGGTGAGGGAGCGCGGGGGCGCCCACTACACCAACGAGGTGTACGACCTGGCGCAGGCCCTGCACTGGGCGAGCCCGGAGGAGAGACTCCGGAGGGTGGCGGAGACGGTGGCGGCCCGCGTGCAGAGGCCCAAGGGACCCTGGCTGCGGGCCAGGCTGCGGGAGTGGAAGACCCCTCACTGGAGCAGCTTGAGGTTCAGCCTGGCATTCCTGCTGGGGTGCGTGCTCCTGCTCTCTGTGTTGCTCTTCAAGAGCTACACCCAGGACCTCGCTGGGAGATCTTCTGAAGTCACACCTGACTGACTTCAGAAACGTGAAACCTGTGAGGCTTCCAGAGGTGATAGAGGCAAATGAGAATCTTCCCCTAGGGACTTTGGCCTTCCTGACTTCCAGAACTTTGAACAAATAAAGTTTTTAAAAGCCACCCAGTTTGTGATACTTTGTTATGAAAACCCTAGGAAATTAATACGTCCTCCATTTGGAGAGCAAGTTAACTCTGGTCAATACTCATTAATTATATGTTGGTGCCATTCAAAAGGATGAAAAGCAAGGTAGTAATAGCTGCGGTTAGGAAGGGAAATTCAGCTGAAATTGACTTACTATTTTGGTTACTCTCCATGAGAGAAGCACACACTGGCTGCTTCTAATCAGCCATCTCTCCTCTGAAAATGGCATGGTGGCGGCAGCAGTCACAAGAGAGTGCATCAGGCTTGAAGGGTCAGGTGCTGACCAAAATCAAAACAAGCTAAGGCCCACTGTGGAGCTAAGTGACATTTAATTCCAGAGTTCTCATGGAGAAGCAGATGCACAAGGAAAAACTCAAAAAAATACCTAGACCTAAATACCTTGGGATGGGGGAGGGCATGCCCAGATTCTACTATTCTGTAGACAAGGGCTACAGAGTACATCGTTTTCCTTAGCAGAGGGTCATATTCAGATATCGTATTAGAAACCATGGAAGCCAAAAGGAAGTGACACAGTATATCTTCAAGTGCTTCAGGAAAAGGATCGTCAACCCAAAATCCTATAGCCCGAGACAATACCTTCACAGATGAAAGAGGAGCCAAGGTATTCTCAGAAAAAGGGAACTTAAGAGAATTTGTAAGCATCAGGCATACTCCATAAGAATAACTAAGAAAATTTCCATAAAAAGAAAGAAAACAACAACAAAAAATCTTAGAACACTAGAAAGGAGGAAAGAACTCAGCAAGTAGAAATATGGGTAAACATAATAGGGTTTCCTTCATCTCCTGAGTTGTCTAAATTATGCTTTATGGTTAAAGAAAATCTTATAACACTGTCTGATGTGCTTCTAAATGTATGCAAGGAAATATTTAAAACAATTATATTGTAAACAGGTGAGATTAAAGGGATGTAAAGGAAAATAAAATGTGATACTTCACTCTAATAAAATGATAGCACCAGTGAACTGTGGTAAGTTATGTATATATGCAGCAATACCTAGAGTAACTACTAAGAGGTTTATACAGAAAAGTACATTTTAAAAATACTGCATATTTTATAAATATACAAAATTATTATTTGCCAGTTAAAATTCAAATAGTCAAAACAGAATTCTAAAAATTGTTCAAGTAACCCACAGGAATTTAGGGGGAAAACTGAGAAATTAAGATCAGGGAAAACAAAATTAAAGGGCAAACTTATGCCATAACATATCAATAATTGTATTAAATGTAAGTAGTGTAGATATACCAGTTAAAAGACAAAAACTTGTAGAGAAGATTTTAAGACAACTATATGATGTTTACATGATGATTACTTATATACCTAATACTGAAGTGTACCCCACATCTTTAAAAGAAAAAAAAAGAAAATCACTTTAGAGATAATGGTAGAGAGGCAGAGACAGGTTGAAAAATAAAAAGATGAAAAAAGAAAAAAGATATATGATGGAAAAGAAAGGAGTGGTTATATTAATATCAGGTTAAAAGACTTCAGAGAAAATAAAATCAACAGACAGAGAGAGGGACATCACATAGAAATAAGACCAAAAAGACATAGCAGTTCTAAGTGTGTGCTACCAAACAATGAGCTACAAAATATATGAGGCAAAACACAGAACTTAAAAAGACAGGTGGGATTCAAGATGGCTGATTAGAAGCAGCCAGCGTGTGCTTCTCTCATGGAGAGTAACCAAAATAGCAAGTCAATTTCAACACTCCAAGTAGGCATCTAAGAGCACATCAAAGAAATGAAAGGACCCATGGAAAGCAGAGAGAAGTGAAGCCTGACAGCCTGCTGGGCTGGACTAGGCATGGAAGTGCATGAGCCCCCCCCCCCATTGTAAAGGTGTGAGTGAGTCAGAAACACCAAAAAACCGACACCATTGCCATGGACCCTTGCAATCCAATCACGGGAGAGCCTTTGTGATTCCCAAGCCCCCAAACCAACATAAAGACCTGCAGGGGCATTGCCCAAGTCCACATGGAGTTCCACAGGCCACTGTGAAGCTCAGTGCCAGCTGCCACCACACTGCCAAGTAGAGAGGCCCAACATTCCTCTGAGAGTGGCAAATTCTTTACGGCTGCTATAGCTGCCTCCCCAGTTGTATCTAGGCCGGGGGGGAGGGGCCGGGGGCGGCTAGGAGCACAGCTGAGCAATATCATGTGCCCCAAACATGGACTCTGCAGCCACAATATACAGGTGAGCAGTCTTCACGCTTATTATCTGCCCTGATGAGAATTGCCTGCTACATGCCCACTGAGCATGCAGGGACCTTACATCTGCCTGAACACTGTGGCCAAGGCCCAGTAGTCCTCTCAGAATTCAACTGCAAGAGCTCTCTGGCAGGCACTATACAGCCACCACCTATTGTCTCCACTGCTGCTGGTCCCCCATTCCTGTCAGGCCTGGATCAGGGAAGAAGTTGTACTGGGCACTTGTGTATACCCCCAACAAAGCCTCTGCAGCTGCAAAACACAGGAGTATCAAGCTGTCAGTGTGCTCCTCACCACCCCTCAGTTGTTTTCCCCTAGACAGGCCCTACTTGCTTCTGGTCTGCAGTGAGGTGGCCACACACCCACCTGAACACTGTGACCAAGGCCCAGTGGTCCTCTAAGAGCTCAACTGCAGCCACTACCACCGCTAGTGGTCCATATGTTTAAGCACTATCTTAAAGCATGTAGCTTAAAGCACTAAAACTCAGGTCTGCAGCCTGAACTACACCAACCAACAAAACCACGCTGCTACATGTATTGTCCAAGTCAGTAACTGCATGATCCTGTCTGCAATCAAGGAACCCATGCAGAGCAGTGACTTTCTAAAAGTACCCAGTAATGAAGACAATTGACCATATGCAACATACGCCACAGCCATATTCAAAAGGGAAAAAACAATAAAACATCAAAAAGTCCCATTCCAACAATAGGAAACTCAAAAAAAATTAAATAAAACAGAGAAGCACCTGTTTCCTCAGATAAGAAGGAATGGGTTTCTGCTGAGAGGTCCACTGTTATTCTGATGGGTCTCCCTTGGTAGATTTTCTGATCCTTCTTCTTAGCAGCTTTTAATTTTTTTTCTTTTGCCTTGACCTTTAGTAGTTTGATGACTTAGGGATGGTTGTCTTTTACATATCTCACGGGAGTTTTCTGAATTTTTTGTATCCGCATCTCAACTTCTCTAGCAAGATTAGGGAAGATTTTTGGATTATGTTCCCAAACACAATAACTTATTCCTATTCTATTATTCTCATTCAGGAATGCCAATCAGATGAAGGTTTGATTTAAAAATCTCAGACTTCTTGAACACTTTGTTCATTTTTTAAAATTCTTTTTTCTTTATTTTTGTCTGACTTTGTTGACTCAAAGGATCAAGAACTTCAGCAACACAAAAAGTCAGTGTTTTGTCACCACAAATGATCACACCAGCTCCCAAGAAATGCTTCCTAACCAGACTGAATTGTCCTTAATAATGGATTTAGAATTCAAATTATGGATTGCAAAGAAACTCAATGATATTAAAGAAAAAATGGATACCAAGTCAAACAGGCCAAGAAAATGGTCCAACAACTGAAAGATGGCATGGCCATTCTAATAAAGAACCAAACTGAACTTCTCAAAGAAATTCTCAGGAATTTCAAATAATAACAGACTGGACCAAGAGGAAAGAAGAATTTCGGAGTTTGAAGACCAATCCTTTGAATTAACCCAGTCAAATAAAAATAAAGAAAAAAGAATTTTTTAAAATGAACAACACATTCTAGAAGAATGGGTTTTTTTTTAAAGAGACCAAACCTTCATCTAGCATTCCTGAGAGAGAGGAATAGAACGGGAACAATCCAGAAAAAACCATTTGGTGACAAAATCCAAAAAAATTTCCTTAATCTTGACAGAGAGGTCAACATATCAATACAAGAAATTCAGAGAATTATGAGATACTCTAAAAGACAACCATCCCCAAGACATATATTGTAGTTATCAAACTATCCAAGGTCAATTCAAAAGAAAAAAATCTTAAAGGCAGCTAGGGAGATGGGCAACCTACCAAAGGAGACCTATTAGAATAGCAGTGGATTTCTCAGCAGAAACTTTCCAACCTAGAAAAGATTTCCATTTTCAGCATTCTTAAAGAAAAAAACAAAGGTCAAGAATTTCTTACCCCACCAAATTATGCTTCATAAATAAAGGAGAAATAAAGTCCTTTCCACACAAGCAAGTGCTAAGAGAATTTGCCTCCTCCAGACTGGCCACACAAGAGATACTCAAGGAAGTTCAAAACATAGAAACAATAGAATGATAATTCCTAACACAAAAGCACATATCTTACAAATCATACAAGTCAACCACAAAAGTGAACACAAAGCAGTTATTTAACAACATTATGACGGGAACAAAACATTGCATATCTTTTTTTTTTTTTTAGTTGGAGTCTCACTCTGTTACCCAGACTGGAGTGCAGTGGCCGCTCCCAGCCACTGCAGCCTCAACCTGCTGGGTTCCAGTGATCCTTCCACCTCAGCCTTCCAAGTAGCTGGAACTACAGGCGCGTGCTACAATTATTTTATTTTATTTTATTTTACTTTATTTTATTTGAAAGACATGGAATACAAGTAAGGATTGGGTATATAAGTGGTCTAGGTTCAGGTGAAGTTTGGGCCTCCCTATGGTACCCACTTTGCCTGGTTTGAGATCAGGTACGCTTATTGATGTAATGTGCCTCCACCTCCCTCCCCTGGCAGTGTCCTGCTATGCCCATCCCTTTCTTATAGCATTATGATAAATGCTCAGGGTCCACTTATGAGGAAGAACATGTGGTACTCGGTTCTTTGTCTCTGTGACAGATCACTGAGTATTATAGACTCTAAATCCCTCCAAGTTGCTGCAAAGTCCATAATTTTGTCCTTCTTTATGACTGCATAATATTCTATTGTGTGTATATACCACATGTTTTTATCCAGTTCACTTT